AGTGCACATACAAATTTTTTGTGTATTTTTAAATTTAGTGACATTTGTGAAAATCTCCCTTTTTAGAATATGCGGTTAAAATGTAGGAAAATTTTTTAGGTGTCTATGCAAAATATTTTTTATTACGAGAATGTGTAGTTAAAAATGAGTTTGAAAAAAAATTGTTTTAACGGTTGTCAAACAAGAGGTAAGTTTTCACTATATTTGGACACCACTGTCAATACAAAGTTCCCATGGTAATTACTAACACTATTATTTCGTGAATAAACTACACTAGATTTGACTACGGATGAAAGTAACTCAAATTTCATTTCATTCTAATTATGAAATAAGAAAGTCAATAAATTAGCTCATTTAACTTGTACAATTCTTTTAAGATGTTTTAAAATATGATCGATTAATTTTGGAATGAAATCGAAACCCCATAACCCAAAAATAGTATGATGTCATTTCAACTAATTTCATTTCTATCTCATTTTATGTAGTCTCATGTTCACATGAAAATGAACAAATACAAGTTTTCACTATATTTGGATAACATGGTCGATACAAAGTTTACGTGATAGTGATCAACATTATTATTCCATTAATAAACTACACTATATTCGAACAAATGTAAGTATTTCAAATTCCATATCACTCCACTTATGTGATAATATACTCAACAATTTAGTTCATTTAACTTGTACAAGTCTTTTAATATATTTTAAAATATGATCGACTAGTTTTGGAGTAAAATTAAGACCCATAACCTAAAATGACATACCGTCGTTTAAACGATTAGAGTTTTTTTTTTATAACTATTTTGTATGTGTTTCACTTTATCTTATCTCATTTCCATATGAAAATGAATTAATACAATTTTTTATTACATTTGGACATCGTGGTCGATACAAAATTTATGGGATAATAATCAACATTGTTGTTCAGTGAGTAAACTGCAGCTGTTTGTCTTCCTTTAAAACAAAATTCTTTAATTCTCATACACATTTTTAACCATACATTTACATAATAAACTATTTTGCACGTAAACTAAAAACTTTTTTTTCTACTTTTAACTACATATTTTCCAAAAAAATCAATATTCAAAACTCCATTTTTTAAAATAATGGCCATTAAACATGGGCTAAGTTTCATTATGAACGAAGGTAAGTAAATCAAATTTCATTATATTCCAATTATGAAATAAGATGCTCAACAAATTAGCTCATTAATTAACTTACACGAATGCTCTAAGATGTTATACAATATGATCGACTGGTTTGGAAATGAAATTGAAACACAGTAACCCAAAATCATATGTTGCCATTTTAAACGAATGTGTGTCATTTCAACTAAGTTCTTATTCATTTAACTACATTTGAAGTGAAATTGAGACCCTATGATCTGAAATGACATACTTTTTAGAAACAATACTTAACATTTTTAAATGATAGGATGTCGTTTCCACCAATTCCAAGTCCATTTGTCTTTATGTCCACTCGTATGATCTTAGAATTGATAAAAATATATTCATACTATTTTAGGACTTGTGCTCCATCCAAAGTTATTATTTAGAGGTCTATGCAATGACACGCGAGTTAGTCTCCCTATACTAGTAACGAAATTAATTCAAATTTCTATTAGAGTCCTAATTAGCCACGAGATAACGAAATGCATTATCTCACAAGATGATGAAATAAAGTGTAGAAAAACATAACAAACGAAATGTTCATCTGAGATCAAAGAACTTCTTTGTACGTGCCGATTTTCCTCAATGCAATTGTAAATTTGTAGGAACTCGACCTACAAGTATAACAAATTTTCCCTCAATGTCATCACATATCATCAACACATAGATGAGTGCTCATTCCCCAACTTAAAACTAATTTGGCAAGTAGCAGTATATCACCAATAATATCAAAACTGACATCGACTAAATCATCTGTTGCCAATCCTACTTCTTCTCATGGTCATGTACCTATTTTGTACTTAGGAGAGCATATATCTTCATACTTTTGTCTGATGAATTGATTTTGACTTTTATGGTCACTTGTGCTTCTTTTCATGGTCATGCAAGAGGTACAAAAACAAAGAGCATGTAGACATATAATTGATCTCCCAACTCCAATGGGCAGAGTAAATATTTTTCACTGCTGACATTGCAAGAGAACATACATGTCCACTCTAAACAGAAGATCAAATGTGTACATAGTAATTATTAACTAAGTCGTTTACTTCAATATAATGACATCACCAACTTTCAACTAGACGAAAATTCTTATTACAATGCATTGGTAAAATCAAAGTTCAAATAGTGAAAAAGTCAAGATAGCCCAAATCATTATATCATGCAAATTGTCCACTTTGAAATGGTATTTGCTCGTTTTATCTCTCACAACTTTCTTTTACATTCGTACCCAAGCCGTGAGGGGTGGATCCTGGACTGGATCCAAGATCGGACTAAATCTAGTTTGATTCCATTATCACACTCTTGCCATCTCCTTGGAAAAAAAATATTACTCACAAATTAACCATTATCACATGGATATAATAAGCAACGTCATTATTTAATATAACAAACTGGATGTTCAAACAAGTTGCTTATGTCAGTTTACTACACTAAATATTATGGATCAAGGCAGCCAAAAATTATGATCTATTGGCATTTCCATGTAAAACGGCTCGCCCTGGTTATTAGTTCAGTGCTTGATTCATTATTTTGGGATAAAAATATAGAACCAACAGGCGTGAAGTTTCGCGTAGTTTCTTCCACTTCCATGATAAATTCTCAAACATGGGTTCGATTTCACATTTCCACAGGTTCCTTTGCAGCACTCTCTGATGGAACATCTTCAGCAGAATTACTAACATCCTCATTGGCAGCTTCTGTCGACCTAGCAGCGTCATGTTCAGCACCGCCTTTTGCTTGATCTGTGGTTTCTCCATCACTTGCCGGCTCAGTTTTCTTAATAGTTCCTACCTTCACATATTTGGTGATGAACTTGTATTCCCAATCCTGCAAGGCATCGAGCTCAAAAAAGCCTAGACCAGTAAGATCACCGTTGAGATCTTTTTCATCAAAAGACATCTTTGCTAGAGCTCGACTAGCATCCTTCCCCGCAAACAGGGCATAAGGTCCACCAGGACCATAAAACATCCTGCGAACAACAAATGAGCTTAAGTACCGAATCTCAGTTGTAGCTGTAACAAATGCTGTATAAAACTGAGTCCTTTCTACCAAACAAGCCACAAGATGTGGCAGAATTTATCTAGATCCTTTACAAACTCGAGAACTCGTACGCACCGAAAAACGTTATATCCAGCTGGGTTCTATTGATCATGCCCTCTTCCTAACGACTTTATTTTGGGGTGTTTTCCACTGAACAAACTTGTAGCCAAATAGGGACAATTGTGAGCAAGAAAAACTTGCCAAGTTTATTTGATTATTTTCGGTATGTTCAAGCGAGAATTGGAAACATGATGCATTTATGATCAAATATTTCCACTGACATATACAGATGAGAATTAAGAAAGAAAACCGCTTGAAATTCCAGTGTTCGAAATTCAAACAATTGTCAAAATTAACGTAAAAATCTGCAAAATTCTTTTATCCCAGAAACACGTAGCACTGTAACTTAGATTCAAAATCGCAACTTGAAAACATCAATGTCAAAAATCCGAATAACTCAGAACATGTAAACAACAGAAAATTCAAGTACAGAACAGGAAAATGCACAAAAATACAGTAGTGGAATATATCTTACCTGCTTCGTGAAACATCGTAGATCTGACCCTTGATAGCCATGAGCAACGGCTTCTCAAAATCAGACCCATCATACTGTTTCAACTCCTCCTCGGTGATTTCACCGAGCTGAACAGGAGGGCGCAGAGGCCGCATTTTCTCATCTGACGTCTGCTGGAAGTGGGCATTACCAAATGACCAGAAGAGACTTGAGAATACGTAGTATAGAACAAGTCCCACAGCAACAACTGTAAAGAAAGTAGCCGGAGCCGCAGAGAGTTCTGTGATAGATTCTTTTAAGGTTTCCCAAAGTTGAACAGACATTGTTTCAAAGGGCGAGAGAGGAACGAGAGCGAGGATGAGGATGAAGAATGAAATGAATGGATATATGAGAGCTTGTTTGAGCCTTATTTTCAGCACCCAAAAAAAAATGAATGGATATATGAGAGCTTGTTTGAGCCTTATTTTCAGCACCCAAAAAAAAA